TAACATATAGGATTTTCTTTCTTTTTTAAGTTGAAATCCATTGCAAATATTTTATATTCAATGTCTTTTGTTTATTTAGTAAAAAAAAAAAAAAAATGCAGATTCCCAGAACATAAGCATTTGCTGCCATTAAGATACTTAAGAAAACAAATATGTAAGTATATATTACTAAGTTGCTGGTAACATAGAAAACCAAAAGGAAATACTGATACAAATATGTACCTATAAAGCACTTCTAAGCAAGTATAGCTATGTAGAACTTCCACTAAAATAATCATAATTTAAAAGTATTTTTGGTTTATATTCTGCAGCTTATTAAATATATTCTTGATGCTATCACTTCATTGTGACCATAGACAAGAAGACTAGTGTATGCAGGTAACTCTGCAGAAAGTGAGTTAAAACAACAGGCTTCTGACTCTGATTCCTTGAATTGTGACACTAAAATACAAAGCTTTTGTGTTACACTTTAAAAAGGGAAACTCATTCCAAGAGAGGCCAGTAAAAATGTCATCTGGCTACCAAGGTCAATTTAACTTTAAAAACCTCAAGGAAAGAAACTGCAAAACACACAACCCACAATAAACTATGAAAAAAAAAAAAATAAAGAGAGGAGAAAAATTCCCAAGTTAAAAAGAAACCCACGGTAGGGGAGAGAAAAAAAAATAAAAATAATAATAAAAAAAATGCCTAAGTAGAAGTCATGAGGATTAGTGAGGGACTCCCAACTAACAAGACTGGGTTTTTCACTTTTTACTAAAAAAGACACCACCTAAGGAGCCTTTAAAGGACTTGGAGACTCTTGGAGAGTTTAAGAGAGATGAATGTTTGTTTGTTGATAATAATTGTCCAAAGAGGAAATAATATTAAATTTTTAAATATTTTCCCGTTACCTTTAACTGTAATGTTAAAAGTGCAGAACATGGGTCGTGCCTGTTCCTCCTCTCCCCGAGCCCCGAGTTCAGCATGTACGTGCCTCATTTTAATGGAAAAAAGGGAAACGAGACAAAACAAAAGTCAACTTACAGATACTTGTTTTCCCACAATGGAAATAAATATGTTTGAATAGGTGCATAGGCAGATTGTTTCATACTGCAGAAAAACAGAAAAAAGTTGGATGCAGAAAAGGTAGGATGCCCAGGTTAAAATTAGTCTGTGTGAAACTTTACTCCATTGGTACATGAGTGCACATAAATATGATGTCAACTACCTTGTCCTCCAACCCCTGTTAGAAATAAGTTTTTACGTTTTGCTGTGAAAGGCTGCTCTATGCATAAACAACTTTGTCAGTGCTGCTCACTTTTTAAGGCGGTCTGCTTACGTGTGCACATGCACGTAACTACATGCGTGTACAAAGAGACAAATCTGCTTCATTTAAATTTTATCTCATCCTACAAGAATCAATTATCAATGCCTCCCAGCCACATCTAAAGAAATTCATTTTAATAAAACAATTGTATGACAAAGAACTATTACTGAAGGGACTGCAGGATCCAAATCTTATTATATATTGCCAGCATACTCCTACTGGAGTAGCCTAAGGTGCCATTTTTCCATTCAAAAGTGACATCCCAGGTGATAATCCACGTGATTCGGGCAGAAGCTGATGTTTGTCTGAAGATCCTCTAACAGTCTATACGTAGCGTGCAAGGCAGTCTCTTTCCCAAAAACATCAGCTCTAACTTTTCCTGTTGGATTCAGGAGTATCCTGAGCAAAAACATCAGCTCTAACTTTTCCTGTCTCAGGATACTCCTGAATCCAACAAGTTTTAGAAAAACTATTTAACATAAACACAAGTATAATTAAGAGCCAGATTTCAAAAATGTTATGTTTGTCTTCAGCTCTTAAATCCTTATTTCAGGGCAAAACAGCAAATCTTAACATTAGAATCCACAAAAGCTATTTCTGCACTGATTTTGTTGTTGTTGTTGTTGTTTAACCCTTTCACAGACTTTTTAATACAAACAATTGTGCTTGCAGCTCAGGTATAATCCCCCCCCCATTCCTATTTGCACAGGTTTGCAAGGCTAACAGATGGGAAAGTCAGCAGAATACAGCTAATACATAAACAGGAAGTTCTGTTCAGTAAAATAGGAATCATTCCACTCGGCCTTTGAATTACAGAGACTTCCAGGAGTTTTATTATACACAAGTAAGCCCAAGGAACAACTGAGGTTACTTCAGTGTAAGAATAAGCTGTTGCATTTAGCCTAAACCTCCTCCACTTTGACTTCAGTTACAGCGAGTCAAGACAGCCCTTCAGGAGGCCCTGCTCCTCAGCTGCGATTTAATACCTCAATGTCTATTCTCTGCCTACTGGGATGCAAAGTATGATAGATCAACTACACACCTTAGCAAAGTTCATGAGCACATTCATTCAGCCAATGTTGAACTAGCTGTGGCAGCTTAAGACATTACTACCTTTTAGCTGCTCCCTATTCTTCCTAAACTGGACATACTGAAAAAGATCAAAGAAATTTTCCTAATCAGGTACAGTTTAGCACTACTGAACTGCTCTCTCTTGTCTACCTCCTGCTAGAGCCTGAGGCTCTGAAATACTGGAAAACTTGCTCAAAACTTCACCAACAAATAAATCAAACCAATGACCTCGTGAAGCTGAGACAAGCACCTAGATTTACTATTGTACTACCTTCTAAAGATCAGCTTATATGGCGAATACAAGGATGGATGTTTCCACATTAAGTGTGTCTCAGGTCAACTTCCACTACTTCAACTTCTAGCATTCTTTTTCATTCTCCTCATAGTTCCTAAAGTACTGCAATTTAAGAGTTATAGTTGTTATTAAGGATCTGAAGGGCCATGAGACAAGTCTACAGTTCAAGAAGTTTCCATTTCTCATTGTTTATAGTTTAATAGGTAGGGGGATAAGTGAGCAAAAAATAAGTTCTACAAGCTGATCAATGTTCTGTATCTTGCTTCACATCTTCTCTAAAGGCTCCCAACTGCGTTACATTTGAAAAAACTGGAAGGTCTTTTACAAAGCAGAACAGACAGAACTATGACACGGAACAAGACTTCATGGGAAGCACTAGATGTAAAACAAAGGAAAACGCACACGTTCCTTTTCAAACTTTTCACAGTATCCTCAGATACAAAATAAGCCAAAGTCTTTGGAATCCAGTATAAATTAGTTACTTCCTTTTAAACTGTGATGGCTCCTGCACTTCTCCTTACTCTCATATTCACCAACCAGGAGTTAGTCACCAATTTTTCCCCAACACTTTGTTTCCATAACACTCAACTCATACATGAGGCTCTAGTGCTTTGCTAAAACAAAACAAACACCACAGTTTTCAGAAATAGTGGCATTGCATTTCTATGAACAACAGGAGAAAACTCTTCCTTTTGCACACACTAATCCAGAAAGATGTGATGTGATAATTAAAAAAAAAAATATTCAAAGCCTGGTCAAACCTCCATTCCAAACAACTTTATTTTCCTTTTGAGCTTAAACCAATTTCCATCTAGTATTTTAAAGAAAAATGTACCAATCAAAGCCTCACCACAGGAATCTCTAAGCCACTAGTTTAAACAGCTCCAGCTGGTATCTTCAAGTCAACAGTACATGCAAAGTTAGCAGAATGCCTTTCGTCTTACTCTGGGAGCACTTCTGTGCATCTTTAATCTAGTGTCAACGTCTTTTCTTTTCAGAATAGCTCTCATCATTCAGTCACTTTGAAATAAACTGCGTGGTGGTGGAGTGTAAACTCTAGAAAACCACAAGAATTTTCTGAAGAACGCATTACCTGCCAGATGAACACAGAACTGCTTTTTTCAAAATACAGCTTTAAAAAATCCTCCCTGTAGGACTTTAACTCAGTCTGTACAGTTTTAAAAGTTACATAGCAAGATATGCATTTGATTTGCTTGCTGAAGGAAATATAACTGCATTGTTTTAAAGACTGTGACAATACGAATGCTGTAGTCCAAGCTATGATCTGTACTTAATACATTCCACAAATATTTGTTTTTAAATTCTTTATTCTGAGCAAAATAAGTCTGTGCTGCCACAGAACATAATGCACTTTATATAGACAATTTAGGCTCTAACTCATGAGAAAATTCTCAAAAGTCGTCTACGTTAATAGTTCAAAGTTAAAAGATTGCACTGTAAAGAAAAAGGCATTAGCTTTCTAGCCATGGCAGGAAAAGCTTCAGCACAAGAGCAGGCTGGTTTAACACTGAGCCACAGACACCCGCACCTCTATGACCATTACTCCTTCTCAAAGGGCATTGATGCTCCTCCTCTGCCCATGAAAATGGGAATTTTAGTCCTCAAAACTGCCCTTTTTTCCCAAAGGACAATACAGATAAGTAGCAATCTACTAAGTCTATGTTTAATAGAAAATTAATAGATTTTACTTAATAGTAAAAAAGCTTTATAATTTTATCTTCAAAAATCTTTATAATTAAAAGGAAAAACCAGAAATTGATGGGAGTTTGATATCCAATTTAAAACTTTTCAGTAACTTTCTTTTCAATAAACATTTTTCTAAGTACACAAATAACTAAATCTCTCATAGTGCATGAAAGCTTTTTTTCTATAATATAGTTGAACAAGTAGCTGAAAGTATATTTTTTCAGTTCAGGGTTTTGACTCTCTGGCCTTGGACCACGTTTAACCTGCCAGAAAAATACGTACAGCCCGCCCTGAGTATCTCTGTGGTAAGAACAAAGAGCAAGTTGGGTCCATCTGTCCTGGGAGCAAGTCATGGAACCCGTGCACCGGATACACACTTCCAGGAACTATTAGAGCTGCTGCTCATTCTGTGCATTAATGCTTTGCATGTAAACAGTCCAGTCAAAACAAAGTGGAGGGCCTGTGGCATACAGACCTCCCTGCAGCTGTAATCCGCATAGGAGTCACCCTCTGCCCTACATACTGGCCATCATTGCTGCAAAACAATAAATTTAATTGCTGAATTTATAATGCACAACTCATCATCTAAATTATAAAATATTTTATCAATATTCATACCTGATTCTTTCTTGTTCCCTTTTCCACCCTCTCGGCTCTTTTTTAAAACTGCCTTTAACATTTTAAAGGCTGCTCCTAAAGGATAACAGAAAGAAACAAAATTAAAATGCAACATTAATAATGTCCATTCATACAAAACCAAACAAAATAAAGAAGGAGCAACACAAATGAAACATTGAGGTAATCAACAGACTTTTTGGCAGTTATATTTATTTTCTACAAACAATGTAGCTCAGTTAAGCAGTCCTGAATCACAAGAAATGTTTTAATACTTGAAGTAATGAGCGTTCACTGTCTTCTTATAAAGCAAAATAACAGAGCATTCCCCACATTCCACATATAATTAAGGTTATAAGGCTAAATCTGTACAAGTTATTGTAAGACACTCTGGTAAAAATAAAATAAAGGCGTGCATCTTGACCTCAGTTCATCAGCACAGCAGGGGTAGCAGGTAACATGGTCAGAAACCTAGAAACGGAGTATCAGTTGGCGATTCCACGGACCACAAAAGCATAAGACAGGTGATTGACAAGGGGACTTGGCATCACCTTTGGTTATTCATAGCTCAGGATATCCCTGTACAGAGCAATATAAAAAAAATTTTTTTTTTAAACTTATATGCAGTCCACAGTTGGTGGACAAAGAAAAAACCACACATTCCTTAAATCCCCACAGACATTACTGCCATATACCTACGTGTCCACATATCTGTGCTTGTAAGCACATGCATTTATTTCTCCTGCTCTGCACTCAAAAGTCTCAAACTTAACAATCAACTTCAAGTGAGCTTCAGATGATCACCGATTATAGGAAAAAATATATCTGGGACATGAAATTAGAACCCAGTTTAAATGTTTCAGATAACTATCTCCTGTAACAAAGCAAGGAAAATACAATGTAAGGAATTAAAGAGCAGTTCTTAAGTTCTTCCTCAAAAAGCTTTCTGAAGCATTTAAAAATTTAATTTCATTTTAGTTCTTGTGTTTAAGGAAACTAAAGTACAAAATATACAAGAAGGAAAAAAGGTAATCATAGTGTATTCTGTCTAACGTAATGGACTGCCATTAAAGCCGTATCGAATCAACATAAAAAGCAACAACAATTTTCCAGCCAAAAAAATTCAGATTCTTCAGGAAGTTCACTTGATTTTATGAAATAAAGCAGAAAAAGAAAAATCAGTAAATTAGAGTTCTTAAGCTTCTATGAATAACTCAAAGCATGCTAAACCAATACTCCTTAGAAAACTAGAAGGTTTCCAGAACCTGTATTACACTCAATGCTCAAATCCCTGGGGTCAGTTCCAAAAACGTACAGCTGTGCACAAAAACGGTTATTTTTCATGAAGCTAGACAACATCTGAAGCAAGTTGCGCTGATGAGTTACACTCCTTACTAACAAAGGCCAGGAGCATGCAAGCAGCATACGCACTGTCTTCTGCGCTCTCGCTCTCCCAATACTCCTAAAGTGTCTGCTAAAGTGTCTGCTAAAGGATTCCCAACAGAGAAAAAGGATGCTTTGGTGATACTCTACAACGTAGAGGATTCTCTACGCCTCTACAAAGGCATTCTGTACAACCTTCAGGTGTTTCTTAAAGAACGTCAACTAAGCAGTCCTCTCCAGCTCCAGCACAAGAAAGAGCGGGGGGAAAAAATCCCCACAAAAACATCCCTAAAATTGGACTACCTAACCAAAAAGCAAATAAACTAAAAGGAAGCAAGCAATGATTACCTACGGAATACAGCCCAGAAAGAACTTTCTGAAAATAGGCATCACTATACTGCACTAAGATTTTGAAGGCCACTTGGAGAGAGCGGGTAGCCTTTTTTAAACACATACGCTATGTGTATATGGTATCAGTGACTTGGTATCAATCATCTTCTATAGGCAAAGACTATGTGTCAGTTCTCAACACAACTACCCATCAATGTTGAGAAGGCTGCTCTGAAAGAACATGGTTAATGACACTCCCTTGACCAAAGGAGTATTTGGTGAAAATAAAAAGGTATCTCCTAAAATTTAACCACAAGATCTTGGGGAGAAAAAATTGAATGCAACATTAGAAAACATTATTTTCCTTCCTTGTTTGAGTAAACGTGGATGAAGTAGATACAAAGACAATCCACAATATCAGAGAATTTTCAGAGAGATTAACAAATAACACAGGCAACTAGAAAGTTAAGTTTCAAACGGAAGACTTGAACAGAAATTTAACTAAAACCTTGATTACTCCTTTGAAATAACATACACTTCAGGTTCAGCAATAGGTAATTATTCG